CGAAACCCAGTCTCTAAACGGTGCTTCCTCGTGCCCCTCTTTCCACTCTAGACAGCTATCCTTAATAATCGCCTGGTCCTCCTCTGTGGTGGCTCTTAATGTTATTCCTTTCTGTCCTCCCACTGTCCCACTTTAGCCTAGAATTTCATCACTTCATGCCTGCATCTCTGCAACCTCCTTCCTGCTCCCAGACTTCTCACAGGCAACATCAGCCGTGAATCCACATCAGACACCAACAAACTACTCATCCTCACAGTCAAAGCCTTCCATATCCTACCCCTCTGGGCCGTGTCTAATATTTCTCTCTCCCTCCATCATCCACCCATCCATCTCACTCCTATCTATCTATCTATCTACACATCTCCCTCTAGTCTCACACACAGGTCTTTACCTGAATCAGGACCACGTTCCCTCTGCCCCTAGAACACTTCTGTTCATTCCTGAAGCCCTTCCTGTTTTTTCTAAGTCCTACAAGATGCTCCTCAAATAAATCAGAGCTCCATGTCAGCAAATTTAGGGAACGCTGCCCATCCCAGCCCCTCTTAGGGTTCACAATGCACATCTATACTTTAAAAGCCCTTAGAAGTCCTATAGCCAAATATGTGCTGTTCTCTCTACCTAGAATACTCCCCCAAGCCTTTTCCTCTACTCATCTTTTAGGCCCTGCTTAAACGTCACTTCCTCAGGGAAGCCTTTCTGCCCCTCCTCCCGACCTAGGTGAGGCCCCGTTACAGCTTCCGCAGCACCTTCCGTCCCTCCTGCACCCCAGCCAGCCCATTTATAACGGTTGTAATGTCTGCATTTCCCACTGGAATGCAAGTTCCCCAAAGGCAGGGACCACCATTCTTTCACTGTATCTTGTCCCCAACACACAGCACAGTGCCTGACATACAGTGGGCTTACACATATTTATTGACCAACTAAAGAAAAAAAATGTGACTTTGGGAAACGTTGCACCAAACAAATATTTTGACTTCGGAAGTTTCTCCCTTGTTAACTAACAGGCTTTGCCTGCTGTGACACACATTTGGAAGGTGTGTTCCTTTCCCTTTGCCTGAAATGCTTCACCTCCTTGACAGGTAAGGAATCCTAAGCATTGTTATCAGTTAGCACTCTTTGTTGAGAGCCATAGAAAATCCAACTAAAACTAGTCTGTATAATAAAAGACACTGAAAAGTCTAGGGCTAGGACTGGCTTCCAGCAAGGGTCTATGTAGCAAATCAAATGATGTCGCTAGTGGCCTGGTTTCTCCCTGGCTCCCTCCTGTCTCTCCGATTTGCTTTCCCGGCTCAGGCTTCCACCCAGCACCCACACCCTCCCTGCAGCAGCCCCATGCTCCCTGTTTGAAGTAGAAGGGCAGTCTCACGACCTCGCCCCACATCAAGTGTCTTCCTACATGCAAAACACAGGAAGCTTTCTCCCCATGAAGTCCCGGGCATGTGTGGTCTTCTTGGCTCTGAACCAGTCCTCGTTTAATCCAATCACAGCCCAACTGGACTGAAGCATCAATTCCAGGGAGATGAGAAGGGGAGAGGAGAAGTTTGTCAAAGGAAATGCAGGGTTCTGTTTGGAAGAGGAAGCGACTGCAGGGTGGTCAACAGTCTTTCAAGGCTGGATTGAAGCCTGAACTCCTCCAAAAAGCCTTCCCTGGGAGCTCCAGACAACTGTGAAGTCTCCTTTCCATGATCTTCCATATTGTGCTTAGGATCTGTACCACAAACTTTGCTCCTTTTACATATGTGGTAGATTGTCCTCTAAGTGACTTGGTTACATAAGCCTGTCCTCCTGCTATAAGAGTCACGTATTTCTGCATGACAATTTACCCTCAAATTTAGTTGGGTTAAAATAATCAATTTACTACGCTCATGGATTCTGTGGACCAAGAATTCCCAAGGAGCACACTGGGGATGGCTTGTCTCAGTTCTATGAGTTCAGGGGCCTCAGCTAGGAGGGTTCAAAGGCTGGGAATGACTCAACGACTGAGGGCAGGAATCCTCCAGAGGCGTCTTCACTCATATGTCTGGCAGTTGATGTCAGCTGTCAGCTGGCACCTCAATGGGGCTGTAGGCCAGGACTACAAAACATGACCTCCTCATGTGACCTGGGCTTCCTCACAGCATGGCAGCCTCAGACTTCCTACACGGAGGCTGAGGGCTCCAAAGGCAAATCTTCCAGGAAACCAAGGGGACTCCTGCCTTTTAGGACCTAGCCTCAAAAGTCACAGTAGTTACAAGCCCATCCAAATTCAAGAGGAAGAAACATAAGGCCCACCTCTCATTGGGAGGGGTGTCAAATCATGTTGTAAAAAGTGTGTGGGCTAGGAAGTATCGTTGTAGCCATCTTTGGGAAATACAATATGCCACACCCCATTACATATTTTGAGTATCTTAAGGGCAGGGGCTCTTTATAACTACTGCTTAAACTAGCCATTAAATCTAATAACAGAAATAATTTGCCAATTGTATGTTAATTTAATCTGCAACAAAATCAAATAAACCTTTCTTAGGTTTTCTATTTCAAATGTTTAAAAGGTTTTGCTTTGTTGGAGTATATATAAGAAAAAAGCTTGCGTGCAAGATTCAAATAGAGAGGGAGAAGCCAGGGGCAACCACTTGACTTGAAATAGTAATTGGAAGTAGATTTGGTCTTGGGAAGAAATTGCCTCTAGGAACCGTCCCAACAATTTTCCAAGCTCTGCTTCAGAATCCTCACCCTCAACTCTAGAATCCACGCATATCAGATTGCTTAGAGATTCTCAAAGCTTGCCGCAAATTCACTTTCCTCAGGACCTTTGTGATTGCTGCTTCTCCCAACTGGGAATATGTCTGGTTCTGATGAAGATCAGCTTAGATTTCACCTTCTCCAGGAGGCCTTCCTGGACACACTTCTCTTTTCTACCATCACAAAAATCCCGTCTTTTGGGCATTGCCTGCTTACTTCGTTGTCTCCTCCACTGAGCTGTAAGCTCTGTGAAGACAGAGACAAAATCCATCTTGGTAACCATTATCTGACTGTGACTAGCACACAGGAAGTCCTCCAAAAATACGCAGCAGATGCTGCCATGGCCCCACCCACAGCCTCTTGTCCTCACCATGTTAGTCCAGGCTGGCACAACTTCCAGCTGCTAACACCTCCACTCCCTTGGCTGAGCACTTTCTCTGGCCACCAATGGGGGCTTTGCCTCCTCCAGCGGCACAGCAGAAGTTGCAGGAAGTCACGCTCCCTGGGAGCAGTCCTCCGTCAATGATTGATTGAGTCAGTGTACAGATATCCCAGCTCCCTCTCCCCCGGAGGGATAACTCTGAGGCATGTGCTCTACATCGGATCCCAAGGTCCCAGCATGACTCAGCGCCCACAGTGGCTGCAGACTCCACAATGCACCCTTTATTAGCTGCCTTCCTTTCTCTGTCTTACTTCTCACTCCATAACCAGGATTTTCTTCAGCTTCCCAGTAAAGGACTTGCTCTCAAATCCTTGACTCAGGATCTGCTTCCCTGAGAACCTACACTAGGACAGAATGCTTGTTGAATGAATGAGTGAGCCTCTATCTTAGTCCCTGCCCACCCTCTCAACACACCACAGCTGATGCATGAAAGCTGATGCCAGCAGCCATGCACATTCAGAGCCAGGGAGAGCAAAGATTAGAGGGAAATTTCAAACCTTCACTTCTATCTCCATTGACATTTGTAATTGAGACACGCGCACAGGAACATTATTTTACTTAAAAGTGCAATGTTGAGAAGTGGCACTGAAAGAGATGATTAAATCAGTAAATAATGTGGCACCTGGGAATGAAATGAGCTCTGGCACAGAGCCAAAGGCTGGCTAGATCAACTGCCAGACAAACACTACTACTTGCTTTTCATCTGCTCGGCGCTTGACAGGCATTACACGACCTGCCTTCCATCCCGCAGAAGTGGAGACCAAGAGCCACCCCAGTGGGTCACCCAACAACGGAGGGGAGCAGATGCTGCAGGTGGGGACGGAATTCGGGGCTTCTCCCCTTGCTCTCCTCCACAAGCTGTTATGACAATCCGGAAAGTGATGCGTGATGGATTACACGCAGCTCTGGGGTCAGCAAGGTACCTCGTCTCTTATTCCCTCATCACACTTCCCCCTACAATTCTCTATTTTTCTCCCTCCCAGTTAATTAATAGGTGTTTGCTGGCACGGGAAAAATACTAGAAACTTGACAAGTACGAGGCTTAAACCTGCAAGGGGCCCTCAAAGGTCAGAAAAATCAATGGATAGTGATTTTCTCCTTAGGCCACAGCCCAGCCCCATCTATGAGGGGTAAGTGGGGGACAGAAGGGAGAAGTGAGCCCTAGGAGAAACGACATTTGCACTCCCCCCTCCCCAAAGAAATCATCTTTAAATTGAACGTTAAAAAAATCTAGAAGGGGTAAAGAAACCCTAAGAAATCTAAGAACTCAAAGTATTGAGAAAGAGGGAGCTGTTTTGCCAACTTTAAAGTGTGCGTGTGAGCACCTGCATGTGTGAGCATGGGGGGTGTGTTTCCGATGTTACTTGAATCTGTCCCCTCCTTTCTGAGGCTGATTGACAGGTCTCCTCGCTTCCAGTGCCTTCCTCTCCATTCCACTCGCCTACGAAATTTATCAATCCCAATCCTACCACTTGACTCTCTCACCTAAAGTGGCTCCCAGTTGCCTCCAGAGGGTGCATGGAAATACCGGCAGAGCCCAGGAAGGTGCTCTGGAAGCATAAGGGAATGGTGGGGACTGAGGCAAAGGGAACGCCCAGGCCTGGTTTAGAGGAGGTGGCTGGCCATAACCCAGCGCCAGCTCATTGCAGGATCCTGAGTCCATCCACGTCACATCTTCCGATTCTTCCAAGAGGTGCTAAAAATGTACTGACTTTTAAAACTTTACGAGTTAAACAGAACAAGTCCCTAGGATTAGGAAAAAAAAATCATCTCGTGGCCACCAGCTTGCAAGCTCCCGCCTACAGGATAAAGTTAAGCCCTTTAGCATGGCATCCAATGCTGGTCGTGGTCTTATCTATTATTCTTTCTGTCCCAGTTGTCTGGAACTACTTGTTAATACCTTTGTCCCCAAAGCCCCACAATCCCAGAAGCAGCTCTAGTTAATATAGAGGATTGAAAGGGGAGGGTACACGCTTGTCTTGGAGTCCACAGAGCAAGCTCACAGTTTTTGCTTACATTGCTTATTTAAGGTGCCTCTGAAACGAGCTACAGGAGATTATGGGGGGCACCCAGCCCCCCTCGGGCTCCTTCCTGGTGCACATTCCCCTCTAGCTCACCCTCTGAAAGTTTAAAGACCCTGTTTCCTCTAACAGGATGTTCTGCGCTCTTATCCACCCTCGAAAATTTGTATTCATTGTTCAGAATTCGGCCCAGACCTTGCCTCCTCCTCCCTGAAGACTCTCCAGAAAGAATTACTCCCTTTGACTTCGGTCCCTGCACGCGTACACACTATTATATACACCGTCACAAGGCGGTGTAGATATTGCTTCCTGGGTTCGACCCCCGTGGACTGTGAACTGAGTTCCCGCCGCGTCTTTCGGTCCTCAAGGTTCACACAGCCTTTCTTCTACTTCTGTAATCCGACATCTAGAATCATCTATCAACTTCGACGAACGGGCTAGACATTCAATAACTGCTTGTGGAAATGAAACCAAAAGGAGAACCGAGACTTCACGTCGCCAGGCTCCTGACTCACTTCCGCCCGGAGTGCAGCCTAGCCACCTGCCTAACCCACTTACGGGGCCCCGCGTCTCAGAGGCCCGGTTCCGCCCGCAGCTTTCGCGCGGGCCACCTGCCGCGGGGTCGGGACTGCACCGGCGAGCAGGTGGCCAGCAGAGCGCAGTTATGCAGGGCCGAGTCTGGCCAGGTTGGAAAAGGGGCAGCTTTGTCAGGATGCCTGGACCGGCACCTGTGCCGAAACAGAAGGGAAAGGAAAGAATGCAGGGGCTCACCGGCGGGCGGCGCGCAGGAAGCCCGCTGCAGAGCGGGAGGGGCAGGACCTGGGGGCGGGGGAGGGGGTGGGCTCCGGGATAGCCCGGGGGATTTCTGGGGAGGAGGAGTCAGGGGAAAGGCCTTGCACAGGGGCGATGAAACAAGCTTCTATTTTTGGTCGAAGCCAAGGGGAGTGACTGTACCGAAATGCCCCGGCCTTGTGGGCTGAAGGGGGGGGGGGGGGGGGTGGGCTGGAACACTTTGCCCCATCCTGTCCTGGGCAGAAAGCAGCAAGGAGACGCGGTGCCCTCTGTGTTGTGGCACCAGCTGGCGAAACCCATAGACAGGCATCCCTCATCCCCAAGTGCCTGGCAGGTGAGCAGAGGAAGGAATTCTGACTCCCAGTCTGATCTGCGTCCTGGACTTGATGGAGCCAGACAAGTCCATAGGAAGGAGGGGGTTACCCTGGAGTCTTTCCCGGAATCACGGCGCGGGCGGAACTTCCCCTGGGGAGGTGAGAAGTATTTGGAAAATGTTTCTTTGAGCAGAAAAGGGATCTCGTTGTCACCTTTGATATTTTAAAGGGAAGTCTTCTTTGTGCCAGGGACTTTTTTTTTTGGCGTTATCTTATTTTTATTTTGCATTTTTTTTAAAGATTTTATTTTTTTCCTTTTTCTCCCCAAAGCCCCCCGGTACATAGTTGTATATTCTTCATTGTAGGTCCTTCTAGTTGTGGCATGTGGGACGCGGCCTGAGCCGTGACTCCATGAGCGGTGCCACGTCCGCGCTGAAGACTGGAACCAACGAAACACTGGGCCGCCTGCAGCGCAGCACGCGAACTTAACCACTCAGCCACGGGGCCGGCCCCTTATTTTGCATTATTTTAATTATTTTTATTTGCATTACTTCAGTTAATCCTCATAACGCCGCTTGGGGGTAGTCTGTAGTACCACTTTCAACCAACAGAAACTCACGTTTGCCCCTGGAGCCAGCCGGCTGCTGGCTGGAGCCGGCGCCCCCGCCCCCGCCCCTTTTCCTGCATAAATTCAAGCCTCCGTTTGGCGACCTGGGAGGGAGGAAGAGGTTGGGGCGAGGCGGAGATCATGAGGAACGGCGGGGAAGGTATCAATAGGATGCTGCCTTTTCTCCCTCCAAGTGCTTCAATCCGATTCGAGTGTGGTTAAGGGTCCGAGGCTTATTCCATTTTTCAAAAATAACTCAGAAGGCCTCGAACTGGGCAGGGCTGCCTGCTGCATTTAGGGTAGAGAAGACCATTCTCTTTGTCTACATAGAAACGGCACTGGTCTGGTGCTCACAGGATGGGAAGGTTTAAACGAATCCCCAAAACAGCAGTGTCGCGTGGTTGTGGGAACCCAGCGAAGGGCTCTCCTGGAGGCCTAGCGGAAGTGAGGGGGTGGGGACAGATGCGGAAGAGGCAGCAGGGCGCTCCTGTGATGGAGAGGATGACAGACTGGCTCTGGGCCTGTGAGGGGGTTCTAGGGAGGCACAGAAACAAGTAGGGGACACTGTGAAGGGGGTCAGTTTCTGGCAGCCAGACCTGGGGGAGCTCAGGCACTATAATTTGTCATTAAAAGTAAGTGTGAGTTATATTACAGACACAGGCCCATGAGGTCACCTGGGCACCTGGATCACACCGTGATTATAAAGAAAAGGAAACAGGTTGAGAGAAATTAAATTTCACACAAAGGCAGAGGAGTGGAGAGCAGTTGGTATTCGAAATCGGCTCTTGCTAATACTCTGGGAGAGCACATATGTGAGGACCAAGAGCCTTTCATTTTCATCCCAGACCCACCTGTTCTTTTGTGGCAAGTTGGGCAATGGTTTGAATGTTTGGTTTTTGCCTTGGCTTTTCCATCTTTTAGTGAAATTCATATGGTATTTACCCCTGATAACTTTACTAAAATAGAATCCGTATGATTTAATAAGGAAATATAGAAAGTCAAGCTTGTCTGGTAAAAGAAGACAATGCCTTTAAAGGCAAAGCATCCCATTTTAAAAAGTAGCTGGAGAAAATACAAGCTTCCGTGTTACAGAGAAACAATAATTGTTTGTTATGCGAGTTGGGTAGCTGTTGAGGTTTGTGGTTTGTTTTGTTTTTAAGAATAGCACTCTGTTAAGACGGCAATACTCCCCAAATTGGTCTACAGATTCAACACAATCTCTATCAAAATCTCATCTGCCTTTGTTGCATAAATTGACAAACAGATTCTAAATTCCTATGGAAATGCAAGGGACCCAGAATAGCCAAAACAATCTTAGAAAAGATCAAAGTTGGAAGACACAGACTTCCCAATTACAAAACTTATGACAAATCTACAGTAATCGTACTCGCATAAGGATAGACATATACTGAGAGTCCAGAAATAAACTCGTATATTTATACGTAATTGATTTTTGACAAGGGTGCCAAAACAATCCCATGGGGAAAGAATAATCTTTCCAACAAACGGTGTTGGGATAACTGGATATCCACATGCAAAAGAATGAAGTTAGATCTATATCTCACACCATATACAAAATTAACTCAAAATGAATCAGACATAAGTGAAAATGCTAAAACTATTAAACTCTTAGAAGAAAACAGGACTAAATCTTTGTGACCTTGGATTAGAAATGACACCAAAAGCACAAATAACAAAAGGAAAAGTAGATAAATCAAACTTTATCAAAATTAAAAACTTTTGTTTCAAAGGACACCCCCAAGAAAGTGAGAAGACAACCCACAGAATGGGGAAAAATAGTTGCATATCTTATGTATGGTAAAGGTCTTGTATCCAGAATATATAAAGAACTCTTAAAACTCAGCAATAAAAAGACAAATATCTGAATTTAAAAATGGGCAAAGGATTTGAATATGCATTTCTCCAAAGAAGATATACAAATGGTCAATAAGCACATGAAGAGATAGTCAACATCAGTAATCATTAGGAAAATGCAAAGCAAAACCACTTCACACCTACTAGAATGACTATATGCCAAAAGACGGACAAATAACAAGTGATGGCAAGGATGTGGAGATATTGGAACCTTTATACATTGCTAGTGGGAATGCAAAATGAGTTTCCCCTTTGGGACACAGCCGGGCAATTCTTCAATAAGTTAAACACGGAGTTAAACAACAATTCCACTCCTAGGAATATATTCAAGAGAATTGGAAATATATAGGCACACAATAAATGTTCACACAGCAGCATTATTCACAATAGCCAAAAGGTAGAAACAACCCAAACATCCATCAACTGATGAATGGATAAACAAATGTGGTATATCCGTACAATGGACATTATTTAGCTATAAAAAAAAGAAGTACAACATAGATGAACCTTGAAAACATTGTGCTAACTGAAGGAATCCAGACACAAAAAGCCACTTATCATAGATTCCACTCGTATGAAGTCTGGAATAAGCAAATCCATAGAGTCAGGAACGTAAATTAGTTGTTGCAGGGCCCAGGGGGAGGAGACAATGGGAGAGTGACTGCTAATGGGTGTGGGTTTCTTTTTGGGGTGATGAAAATGTTCTGGAATTAGATAGTGGTGATGGTTGCACAACTTCGTGATTATATTAAAACTGTAAAAGAGTGAATTTTATGGTATGCTACTTATAGCTCAATTAAAGAAAAAGCTCAGATGTGGGTCAAAAACAAATAGCAGAAGAATAACACTTCAAGAGGTATGGCCTGGGAGTGCAGCCATCAGCTCCTAAGACATGAGCCCAGACTCTCCCCAGAAAAAGGGCTGGCCTGACCCTCAAAGAGAACTGGAGGCAGGACCCTCCACTGTCCCTCAGGCTCAGGCAGCGAGCACGGCTCCTTACAGCTGGAATAAAGAATCTCCTCCAAGACTCTCAGCTGTGCTCCCCAGGGCCTCTTCTGTGCCAGATGTCACAGCTGACCCTCCAACGCTACTACAGCCCAGAAATCAGCTGTGTCTAATCCAATGGTTTTCTCCCCGCTACCCAGCTCCAAACCTGAATGGCCTTGAAGAATTCAGACTGTAAAGGAAGCAATCCAAAGTTCACAGATAGGACCATTGCAGCAGTTTTTTATAACACTGAAAACTAGAAACAGCCTAACTATCCAACAATAGGGAATTGGTTAGGAAAATTATGGTGCATCCTTAAATGGGATATTATGGAATTACTGAAAGTAATGTCTATACATAATTTTTAGTGACATGGGGAAATGTGGTAATGGCAAGCAAAAAACACAACACAAGATACAAAGTCATATGGGAATTATGTTCTCAACTGTTGCAAAAATATACTTACCTTAAGAAATATGGGGAGAAATATTCCATGATATTAATAATGATCATTAGTGGGTGGATATTTTCATTCTAAAATTCTCTTTTCAAATTTTCCACAGTAAGTATGGAATACTTTTGTTATCAGAAAAAAATAAACATTTTGGGGAGAAATTCTAGGTGGCAAGATGGAAGAGTTTTAACAAAGGCCTGGACGCACAGAGGAGGTGAGTGGGAAGACCTCATCGATCTCACAGCCTGTCCTACTGCAGCTGTGGGGAGAAGCAAAAGTGGGAGGGGTGACACCAGCTTGGACATGAGCAGTGTCCATGACAGGGCTTGAGGTGGTGGCTTGTGGTTCCAGGACTCCTTCTGCTGGGGGAGTCTGACCCAGTGTCGCCCATGGACAGAGAAACTATGGATGTAGTCAGGCGCCAGTAGCTCTGTGACTAGGCTGATTACTAAGATTGACGATCAGGACTTCTAGAGTTTCTACAGTGATTTCCTATACGTTATTTCTTTTGATCCTTATAGCAACTGAGATAAGGACCATTATTACCCCATGGCATCAACAAGGAAAATGAATCTGTATTAGTAAAGGTAACACTAGATGCAGTAACACCCAAAATTATCAATGGCTCAACACAGTAAGTTTTTTCCCTAGTCACAGAACAGTCATGTCTACAGACCACTTCTGGTGTGGTGGCCTTTCACATGGCATTTGGGGACCCAAGTCCCTTCCACCTAGAGGAGGTGCTCAGAGCCTTCTCTTCCCCTCCAGCAGGTAGGGAGAAGCCTGTGGAGGTTACAACTGGCCAGGCCTGGATGTGGCATATGTGCCTTCCATGTACATCCCATTGGCTAGAATCAGTCCCGGGACCGCTGCTAGCTTCCCGTGCCTAGGAGAAAGGAAGCTATCTGAGGGAGAGCTAGCAATCTCTGCCAGAGTCCAAAGAGCGTAAAGTCATTGGCTGAAGGTCACACAGCTAGTAAGAGACACAGCAAAGATTCCAAATCAGGGCTGAGTCTCAGTGTTGTCCATCTTGAGGCTCTGCCCTCTTCCAGACCCTCGAAGTCCTTTCCCCTCCGGAATGTTCTCTAGTCTCCTGCTACTAGCATCCATCTAGGGCACTGAGGCTGAAGTGGTCATTGGGGAGGGTAAGAAAGCCTGATGAAAACATGTTAAATATAGTTTTGAGGCTTCCCAGACCTGTCAATAATCCTTGTGCAATCTTTTCTTCCCAGGTTTTCCTGCTTTGATTAACTTCTGCAACTCCCCATTAAACATTAAAAGTGAAGCAGACACCAGTTTTAAGGCCGTTTTCATTACTGTGCTTATGACGTATGCCATCATTTATGGGTTGTTTTTGCAAGGCTTCAGAGGCTCCTCCCTGTGTCTCGGCCGCTTACAGCAGTCGGATCTGCTGCCTGGCGGGGGACGGTGCTCGGCTCTGCCCCTGTTCTGACGGTAAGGAATGTCGTTTACTAGAAAAGCGGAGTATAAACATGAACTTGATTGACTAATCATTATCATTCAACAGAGGGTTAATAATTCAAACATGATCTAAAGAAATACAGATTCCTAGATGTGCTTATTTATTCACAAATATTTATTAAAAGAAATAAGATGGGATCATAATATTATCTTGACACTTCAAACTCATTTTCCCATCTGACTGTCACGTGAATGCTGCTGGGATGGGCTTTCCCGTTCACTGTGTGTAGGTGGAAGCTGGTACACTGGATGGTGAGTGATGGACTTGGGTTCACCTTCTTGCCAACCTCTTGCTCCTGGCTTTTAACCCCTTTGAACCCATTTCCCTGTCTGTAGAATGAAGAAAGAGTAAAAGCTAGTACAAAATAATATTAATGCTTACCTCTTAGAGTCTGGGGGAGAATTGAATGGGTTAATGAATTCATAGCATCTGGGACATGATTACAATGACTGTTTCATAGCCTCAGACAGTAATCTTCTCAAATCCAGACAGTAGTAGGGCTGGGGTTTGCGCCTCCCAGCCCTGAATCTTTCTCTTACTTCTTGCTGCCTTTTATATTCTAGGAAACACGAGGAATCAGGCAGGAAGACACTACACTTGAGCTCATAGTTCACAGGTAAGGGTCCTTTCCATTTAATTCATAAAATATTTCAATCACTGTCTAATCAAACTCCACTACTTTTTAAATTGTTCTTTATTCCAACTTCTTGAATTGATAACTTAGTTCATTTATTTTCAATCTTTCTCACCCAGGATGAATGCTTATTGGAAATACTGGAATTTCTGGGGCCAGCTCTCCAAAATGCAGTAAGAATTTATCACGGTCTCCACCCACCTCCTGACAAGGGCTGGAGGACATCAGTATAGGAGGGAGAGAACGTGCCACCTGGAATCAGAGACCTGAGTAGCAGTCCCACCACACACCAGCTGTCGCACTTCATGCAGCTTCTCCGCTCTGAGCCTCGGGTTCCTTAACTGTGAACTGGAGATACCCATGATATGCCGACTTCCCTCACCATCCTGTGAGATCTGATGGAGTGGAGCCCACTGCAAATTGTACAGTTCTGTGTGATTGTTTTTACTATCCAAACCACAATCCATTGCCCGGCAGTTCTTCAAATAGGAGACAGATTTCCTTCCCTTGGCGATGATCATGACTAATATATTCCGGGATGTGTTGCATTTTCCTGGCCTTAAAATAAAACTGAGCCAAACAAGGACGCAGACGCGGTCTGTCATTCAATTTGGGACCATCTCCTATATGCAAGGCTCTGCGTGAAGTGCTCGAAAGCAAGCGAGGATGGATAAGGTTTAGTGCCTACCCTCAACCAGTTCACGGTCTGGAGGACACCAGCCGTTTATATAAAGTGTTTCATACCTTAAGAGAGGAGCAGATAAACTGTTAGAAAAGTTGAAAGAAGCAGGGGTTACTTTCAGTTTAGTGAAGTCAAGGAAAGCTCCTTGGAGGAGAGACTATTTGAAATATGTCTTAAAAGTAGGCTAATATTTGGGCAAGTAAAGAGAACCACTTGAGTAGAGGCTTGGAGGCAGGAAACTGCGGGCTGTGTATGGAGAGGAGGGGGGGTCCTTTGACTTGACTCCATCAGCTGGGACATACAGAAGAAGGTGGGAAACAGGGACAGAAAACAGGGAACTTGAAGGTTGGACTGATGACTTGTGTTTTAAGCAGGAAATAGAGAATTGATCCAGCAGGAGGTTACAGATGACCTGGAGTGGATGGAGATCGAAGGCAGGCAGAACATTTCTGAGGTCATTGCAGTGGTCCAAATGTGAGGAAATTCTGAGTTAGGACTGCAGCAGCAGAACAAGAAGATATCTTGTAGGTGTAGAATCCAAAAGACTTATCAGAATAAAGAATATCAAAGATCTGGGACTCTAAGAACTGATGAGCAAATTAGGATTTGTTTCAATGTTTTAAAAGCTCCACAAATTCATCCATTCAACAAATGTGGGTCAGATGTGTGCTACGGGCTGAGAATAGAGCAGTGAGCAAGACAGACAGGATCCTTTGTGGGAGTGAGACCCTAAATAGGTAACTCAGTATGGAAATGAGGGAGGAAGTAAGAGAGCACTATGACAGAATGTTCTGGAGGCAGGACTGGGGTGTAGGGAAGATACTCAGGTAAGGAGGTGACATTTTGGCTGAACCTTACCTGATAGGCATAAGACAGACAGGGGAAAGTTGGGGGAAGAGCAGTCTTTGCAACTTTGAATCCAAATAACTTTTTAGGGAATTATCTTTTGGTGTTAAGACATGAGCTCCTGCCTGCTATAGCCCCCAGACAAGGGACAGTCTGTCCTGCAGAGTAGATGACCTCACTTTTCTCTTGCATGTAATAGATTTTCAACCCCTAACAATGTCTTCTTTCTCCCAAAGTGGCTATGGGCCAATTCCCCATCTCTTCCTCCAAATAGCTGAACTTAGGATGTCCAAATGAGTTTTTATTAAGCTTCTCTAAAAGACCAGCTTTATAGATAACATTTAGCACCGAACGGAAGTGTCCCAGAAGTTCACATACATTGGATAATCAAGACTCGTCCATTGATATACGATATAACAAATGTCCGCACTCCATTTATTAGACCACTAGACAGTTTTCACAAAAAGGCAGGTGAATTTTTCAGTCCAAAGGGTGAGTCAACCCATCTGGTATGACAAATGCTGTTTCTGGCTTTATTCCTTGTCTGAGACCATTTGCCAAAACCTTTTTCATGAATCAATAGTTAAGATAATCTAAGCTGTTCCCAATAGATTCCGTAGTGCACTGGTTCCAGGCATAAGACATCAATTTGGTTAGGTTATAAAATTTAATATTCTATAATCTGCAGAGAATCTAATTCATGTACCATCTGGTTTTGGAAGAAAGAGCTCTGGAAAAATTCAGGGGCTTTCAGGATTAACATTTCTCATCTTCTTCCTGATCTCACTCAAGACCTTTCCACTCACACTCAAAGGTCAATAATCTCTCAGGGGTATTGCCCCTTATTTAAAAAGTGGTAAATTCATTCCACCCGGTTCACTTTGTAATACGTCCATGCATTTTCCTCATTGTCTTGCCCTGGCTCCAGCCTCATGAAACGTTCCCTGCTCCACAGTTGAAGTGTGTGTGAATTGTGTGGTGTGAAAACACACAATTGTGTGTGAATATAGCATCAAGTCACAACCTGGTCAGTCTCCCTAAAACTCTTTTTGATTTGATTCGATACTTGGTAACCTGAAAGGTTTACAAAGCACCCTCACTTAACGTCATTTCGCTTTGCTCCCACGCTGACCCTGAGAACAGCCCCATTTTACAGATGAGGCCATAAAGCCCAGAAAGGTGACTTGTCTGAGACCTGGGATCCCTGGTCCTCAGTGTGAATCCTCCCCAGTCTGCATGCCACTGCAGGGTACAGTGATGTTCCCTAACCCCTGCCATCCCAGCCTCTCTACAGAGCTTTCCAACCTCTTCTTCTCTTCTCCCATCTCAAGCGTCGTTCCAATGGACTAGGTGTTGCTGGTGTCCTCTGCGCCTGTCATGCCTCCACGGGCCTTATCTGGCCTCCTTGGATCCCCCTACTAGGAGCCCATGGGTGGGCTTCAGGAAGTCTGAGGACCCTGCAAGGATGCAGGTGGAGTTTTGCATGTGTGCTTCTGTGAGTCTGTCTGGGGAAAGAATCCAAAGTTTTCATCAGATCCTCAAAAATTCAATGGCATCCCCCTCAAAAGAAGGGTTAACAAATAATTTTATACATGTCTTCCTTGCCGCGAATGTCGTCTCCACGCCTCTTGACCTATCTCATGCTATGCTTCATAATTTCTCTTCAGAACTTACAACAAAACCAACTCCTGACCCTGGGGCTTCATAGATTTCCCTTCCTGGAATAGTTTAACTATTCTCTTCTTTCCAAATATTAATTCTGAGAGGGAGAAGCCAGAGTATTCCTAGGGTGGCCTTTATATATGCAAATAACATGTGACAACTTATCCCAATTGATAGCAGTTATCTGTAAACCTTAATCATTCCCTTCAGGGTTGATTTAATCCTTCCATTAGCAAAATGCTTCCTCTGAGACGAAGAGCTGAGTAGATATATTTAACTACATCGATACAGTTGTGGTATCAACTATGAAAGGAAAACCACACTGATCTGTAAGGATTGAATAGCGACATTCCAGATGAAAAAAATAAAATCAGTAAAGGGTCAACCACTCCCTAGACACCAAAACAGGCCAATCCCACTGCTTCTGGGGACTCGAGGGCACGTGAAGCTTTGGAAGAACAGATTTGGTTTGGGGAGCTCTGGGTGAGCCATCAGGAGCGGGGAGGGGAGGAGAAGGCAGGAGGGGGCTCCGGCAGAGGATGGTGGGGATGCTGGCTGTGGATTCAAGGCTTCAGCCTCGGCATCCTTCCAGCCTCTGAGCCTTGACACACATTCTCTGACAATTTCTCACTGTATTTGCCTGAAACCTTTCCCGTTCCCTGCTCTAGTCCATGTTCTGAACATGGCATACACTGTCCCCGTCGGAATCTGCTATATTTTCAGTTGCTTCAGGCCACTGTCCCCCTCTTTCTGACCCTGCTGAAGCCAGATTTTCTCATGAGTGATGCCTCCCTTGAAGCCCTCTGCCTAGAGGTGTAGACTGTCTACACCCTGTGTGGCTCTACCTTGGTGTGATCAGCTTCTCCCACCTCCTCAGCGTTAGTCATCAGTCACTATTCTGGGGGACTGGTCTTGGCCACACCAAGATATGTCTCTTTGGCATGAGGATTATTGGGCTGATTGCTTTTGATAAACTGGACAGGGAAGGAGGCTCTGAGGGGTGGAACTTGCTTGCCCTTTGTTAGGAGACATTTACGTTGTAAGGTAAATCTCTATCTGTAAAGGTGCCTCCCTCTCTGTACCAGGAAGAAGAAAGGGGATGACCTTCTCTCTAGAAACTCTTAATCAATGCCAAAGGCAAGGACTTAAATCTGCATAATAATCTTATTCCTGTTTCTGGTAACCTCCTGTAACTGACTCCCCCCCACCAACATCCTCCTTTGTCGTTAGCTGAGATGATTTAAGGTGGGAGCTTCAGCCATTTTGGTGAGTTGCTCAGCTTGCCTGACCTCTCCCATGTATACATGTTATAAAGCTTTGTTTAATTTTCTCCTGCTATTCTGTCTCATGTGAATTTAGTTCATTCTCTGGCCAGACGAACCCACTTTGGGTAGAGGAAATGTCTTCCTGCCCTACACTATGAACCCTTCCTCTTCAGGCCCATGGCATCTGCCTCTGCCACCCTCTGCCTTCTTGCCAGCTGGTGCTTCCAGCACATTCATTGCAGACTTAGGTGCTGCCGTGGGCTGAAAAGTCACCCCAAAAAGATCTGTCTGTGCCCTAATCCCTGGAACCTATGAATGTGAAGTCGTTTGGAAAAAGACTCTTTGCAGGTGTAATTAAGTTAAGGATCTTGAGAAGAGAAAACCATCCTGGTGGGCCCCAACGTCTAATGACAAGTATCCTTGTAAGAGACATGCGGAGGAGAGACAGACAGAGGAGGAAGAGGCCGTGTGGCCACCGAGGCAGATTCTGGAGTGATGTGGCCACAAGCCAAGGAACGCTGGCAGCTCCCAGAGGCTGGGAGAGGCCAGGACTGGAAGGTCCCGGGAGCACCCGGAGGGAGTGCAGCCCTGCCGCCACTGTCGCTTTGGATTCTGACTACCAGGTGGGGACAGAATGAATGTCTGCTGTTTCCAGCCACCCAAGGTGTAATCATTTGTTACAATAGCCACAGGAAACTAATGCAGGTGGCTAACTCCACTACCTTGCATGGAATCACACTACAGGGTAGGTATTGTTACATCCCCCGTGTACAGGTAAGGACGTGAAAGCTCTCAGAGGATGAGCAGCATGCCCACCGTCATGCAGGTGGGAGTGAGGGGCTCAGTGGGACTCCAGTGCAGGTGCCCTGTCTGAGCATAAACCCACGTGCATCACCTCTAGGTGACACTGCCCCTAATGGGTGACATCGAGTCCACTTGGACATAGGGTGCCACTAAGTCTGCAATGCCTGCACATGTCAACTATCCAGGTCACACCCTCCATCCTCTCACACCGCCATCCCCAGGCCTGCTCTACCGCTGACGTCACCAGGATGCCACTTGCAGATCACAACCCTCTCCCCTTTTAGCCATCTCACATGCTCCCTCCCACTCCACCTAACCTTTGATC